ACTTTTTATTACAAAATAATTATTAACAATTAATTTTTTTTCATTAAAAAATAATTGATTATTTTGTTAAAAAAATTAAATGTTAATAATTATTATGTTTATTTTTTTCTATTTATTATGCCATTTTTTTAGTTTAAATAATTTTTAAAAAAAATTTTTTTAATTGCAAAATTTTTTATTTTATCAGAAATAAACAAAATAATTAATTTAATTTAATTTGTATTTAATAATTTATTGAATTAAAAAATTACAACAAACTAATTACGAAACAGAAATAAACAGAAAGTGAATTTAATAAGGGAACAAAATAAAACTAAATACAAAAAAATACAGAAAAATAAATAAAAATGAAATTTAAAACGAAATAAATACAAGAAAATTAAATAAATAAATAAAATAAATAAATTTTAACAACAAAAATCAACAATAAAAAAAATAAATAAAAACAAAAAACAAAATAAAACAAAGACAAGACAAAAAATTAAATAAAATGAAAACAAAAAAATAAATAAACAAATAAATAAATAAATTTAATAAGAAAATTAACAGGAATTGAAAAAGCAAAATAAAATGAAACCAAAACAAGACAAAAAAAACAAAAAAAATAAACAAAATTAACAGAAAGAATAAAAGCAAAAAAAAAAAAAACAGAAAAAAAATTAATATTAATTTAAAAAATAAATAAACTAATAAAATATTATTTTTCATTACAAAATGATGAAAATAAAAAAATAAGAAAAAGAAAAAGTGGAAAAGACGAAATAACAAGATAAAAATACAAATAAAAAAAAATAAAATCAAAGAAAGTAAATAAAAAAAAACAAAAAAATATAACGAAAGGAAATAAAAAAAAAATAAAAAGAAATCAAAGAAAATGTAAAAGGAATAAAAAAAATAACATACAGAATTTTTAGGGACAAAATAATATCTTTCGTAATCATTTTGTCAGCCAATAATCTGACAAGTTTTTTTTTTTTTACAAACAAATGGAAAGGGTAAAAAACAATTGTTTGACTTCGAGTGATGGATTTCAACGAAAAATCGAGGATTATAAAAAATAAGAGCGGAAGAATCGCGTGATAGGTGGTTCGCTGCCAAAGTAAAGCGCAATGTCCAATTCTACAAAAAAAAAAAAAAAAAAAAAAATTGAGAGACATCGAGTGAAGGAAAAATGCAAATTCCCAACTCGGCCCTTGACTCACAAGCACGACAACCAACAATAATTCGTCTCTATTACTAAATTCTTTTTCTCCCCCTTTCGAGTCACAGATTCAAAGATTATGTACAAGTTCAAGTTTTATAGACACTTTTTTTTTACAAGCACAAGCTCACAATTATTTCCCCAAAATTCTCTCTCTTCTTTTTTTTTCTTTCCATTTTATTTTTCCCCCTTTTTCTCACTCTCTTGTTTTTTATTCTTTTAATTCTCCTTTTAAATTGTCCACCCAACTTTAATTAAAATGAAGAAAAAAAAAAGAAAATTTGCACACCAAAAAAGAGGAAAAAATTTATTTTTTAATTACGAGCGTTATCTTTTATTTTCTATTTTTTTATATTCCATTTCAACGCTATTAATTAAATTTAATTCTACGATCGGAAAATGTCAAGTGTTTGTTAGATGGGTTTTTTTTTGTGCAAAGAAAGGGAAAAAAATGTGTATATATATCCGAAATGGGAAGAAAAATAAATTCTAAAAGAAATTTTAATTAGAGCTTTGACTGACTGAAAATACGTTTTATAAATGTAAAGAATTTTCTCGCGTGTGATATGAGATTTTTTTTCTAAAAAAAAAGAGAAGAAAAAAATTGTACACCAACAACAATTAAAATTGTATCCATTAGTCATTGGCATTACTTTTTATTATCGAGAGTGGTTTTTGAATTTTTTTTTTTAAATAACAAATAATAAGTGAAAATAAATAAATAGTGGAAAATAATTGGTAAGAAATGAATTTCTATTTTTTTCCTTATATTTATTATTCACTATTTTTTTTCTAACTTATTATTTGTTATTAAGAAAATTTTCTAAAAACTATTCACGATGATAAAGAGTAAGTCCAATGACTAAAAGATTAAATTGTTTAAAAAGCAATTAAATAGTAAGAAATTAACGGTAAGAAATAAATAGTAAACAATAGTAAAAAGTAAACAGTAAAAAATGAAAAATAGCAAAAAATAGTCAACAATAGTAAAAAAACAGCAAGAAATAAATAGTGAAAATGAATAGTAAGAAAAAAATATAAAGATATAAATAGTAACAAATTGTAAGAAATAAATAATAAAAAATAAATAGTAAGAAATAAATCGAAGAAAATAAAAGTTAAAAACTCGAATAGTAAATATAAACAGTAAGAAATAAATAGTAAAAATAAAAAGTAAAAAATAAATAGTAAAAATAAAAAGTAAAAAATAAATAGTAAAAATAGTAAAAAATAAACAGTCAGAAATAAATAGTAAAAATAGTAAAAATATATAGTAAGAAATAAATAGTAAAAATCAAGTTAGAAATAAATAGTAAAAATAAACAATAACAAATAAATAGTAAAAATAGTAAAAGTAAATAGTAAATGTAAACAGTAAGAAATAAATAGTAAGAAAAATAAATAGTAAGTTCCAAATTGTAAAAAATAAATAGTAAACACTCGACAAGTAAATATAAATTGTAAGAAACAATAAAGAAACAGGTAAATAGTATAAGATAAATAGTAAAAAATAAATAGCAAGAAATAAATTCAAAAAAATCAAAAACTCAAATAGTAAATATAAACAGTAAGAAATAAATTGTAATAATAGTAAAAATGGTAAAATTAAAAGTAAGAAGTAAATAGTAAAAATAGTAAAAATAAACCGTAAGAAATAAATAGTAAAAATAAAAATTAAGAAGTAAATAAATAGTAATAAATAAATATAAAAAAATAAAAAGTAAGTAACAGATTATAAAAAATAAATAGTAAACACTCGACAAGTAAATATAAATAGTAAGAAATAATAAAGAAACAGGTAAATAGTATAAGATAAATAGTAAAAAATAAATAGTAAGAAATAAATTCAGAAAAATCAAAATCAAAATTCAAATAGTAAATATAAACAGCAAGAAATAAATAGTAATAATAGTAAAAATAAACAGTAAGAAAGAAATAGTAAAAAAAATTTAAAAATTAAAATTAAAAAGTTGAATAGTAAATATAAACAGTAAGAAATAAACTGTAAAAATAGTATAAATGAAAAGTAAAATATAAATAGTAAAAATAGTACAAATAATCAGTAAGAAATAAATAGTAAAAATAAACAGTCAGAAATGAATGGTAAGAAATAAATAAAAAAAAGTAAGAAATAAATTTAAAAAAAATAAAAATTTAAAACTCAAATAGTAATTATAAACAGCAAGAAATAAATAATAATAATAGTACAAATAAGCAGTAAGAAATGAATAGTAAAATATAATAAGAAATAAGTCCAATAAAATAAAAATTAAAAAGTCGAATAGTAAATATAAACAGTAAAAAATAATAAGAAAGCAATTAATTTTTAAAAGTATTAAAATAGTAAAAATAAACAGCAAAAAATAAATAGTTGAAATAGTAGGAAATAAAATATAAGAAATAAAATAGTAAAAAATAAATAGTAACTAATTAAAAAGTAAAATATAAATAGCAAAATTTTAATAATAAACAAATTAAATAACTAATAATATATATTATTTAATAATTTTTTTTAAAATAAAGTAAATAGTAAACAAATAATTAGTAAGAATAAATAGTAAGAAGTAATAGTAAAAAATAAAATCAGTAAAATTAGTAAATATTACAAAAAAAAGACAATTGCAGAAATTTACCAAATTCAAAATGGCGTCTGCAATATGGCGGAAATTATTTAAGACACATTTTTTCCGCTGAAACTTATTTTGTAGTATTTAAAAACACTATTTTTAAATAATTTCAAACTAAAAACTAAAAAAAAATTAAAAAATTTTAAATGTTAACAGGAAGAAAACAAAATGTCTATTTAAATATGTCAATATTTACCAAAAAGTCATTTTTTTATAATCAAAATTCATTATCTAATTCAAATATTACTATTTTTATTATTTTTCATTGTAAAAATTGATGTAAAAAAATTACAGAACCGAAAAATTCAAAATGTCCGTTCTAAAATGTCGACTGATATTTCAAAACTTACTGTTTCTCAAATTAAATTTACTTTAATATTCAAAGATCATCATTTTCGCCGTTTTCAAATGTGTAAAAACTGTAAAAACTAAGGGAAATATGGTCAAAAAGTGTAAAATTCAAAATGGCGGTTCCAAAATGGCGACCGATTTTTAAAAGGTCAATATTTTTATTTAAAATTCACGCTAGTAGTTAAATTATCAGTTCTTTTAAAACTTTTTTCCCAATCAAATGAAGTCAAAACGAAAAAAATTGCCAGAATGTAGAAAATTCAAAATGGCCGTTCCAAAATGGCGGACAAATTTTAAGAGGTCAATTATTTAAATTTAAATTAAGATTCACTCTAAAAGTTAAATTATCACTAGTTTCGATTTTTTCACGCGGATAAGAACTGAAAAAAATACCAGAATGTAGAAAATTCATAATGGCCGTTCCAAAATGGCGGCCGAATTCAAAGAGGTCAATAATTTAAATTAGAATTCACACTAACACTTAAATTATTACTATTTTTAAAATTTTTTCCACGTCGAGAAGTACCAAAAGAAAAACAACAATACCAGAATGTATGAAATTCAAAATGTCCGTTCCAAAATGGAGGCCGAATTTTAGGAAGTCAATTTTTTTAAATTAAGATCCACGCTAAGAGTTACATTATTACTAGTTTTGAATTTCTCAATGCGAATATTAACCGAAATAAGAAAAAAAAATTTGACAATGTACAAAATTCAAAATGGCGACTCTTCTATATGGCGTCTAAGAGGCAAAAAAGTAAAAAAAAACTGCGGAGGGGAGAAATAGGGTTTCTCAAGTCTTAATTTCTGATAATTCTCACCTCGTGATCAATTTCTTTGACCATTTCGGTGAAGGAGGATGACTTGAGGCACGTTTCGGTGGCGGTTGCTGATGTTGCTGTTGTTGTGGTGATGGTGGTGGTTGCGGTGGAAGTGGTAACGACTGTGATTGGTTGGACGCGTGTCGATTCAAGTGGTAGGGGCGGCGGCGGTACATCAGATGTTAATTCCTGATAGCATGACTCGCCGGAACCCCTTCGACTACCAGCGATGCACATTGCTCTCCGAAATAGTCCTGCTACAACGGCGCATAAACCGCATTGCATGCTGGTTGCACTACCACGACTTGATAGTGAGCCTCCATTCGGCCTTCGACGGGGCCGAGTCCCACGGGAGACCTTGTCACGTGTCTTCGACGCCAGTTTTGCGTCTCTTTCACTTCCTCTGCCTCTTCTCTTTCTCCAGTTTCTTCCCAAATTCCACGACCTTTAGAAAATGTTGTAGTCAATTTTTTTTCGGACTGTAAACTATTACTCCAATAACCCTTGTTTTCCCTTCTTTTTATTTATGAATTTTTTATTGTCTAGCTGACTTCTGGTCCTCTAATTCCCTACTGGCACTAAATTCTACTCATTTCCTGTTTTATACTTTCTTTATCACCTCCTCACTAATTATTGACTCCTGATCCTCTAATTTGTTGGATCCTGAGACTTTTTCCAATTTTCTGTCCCTTCGCTCCTTTTCCTTGACTCCTAGTCCTATATTTCTTACTCCTCCTCTCAAATTTTTGTTTTAAATTTTTCTAACTCCTCTTCCCTTAGCTCCTAGTTCCCTAATACTTATCACCTGATAATTTTTTTCTTCCTCCCCTCCCCTTTTTCTTGACTCCTGATCCTTTATTTTTTACCTCCTCCTCTCATATACTTGTTTTTAATTACTCTACCTCCTCTTCCCTGGTTCCTAATCCCCTGTTAAATGTTTCCTTCCTTCCCTCCTTTTATCATTCTCAGACCTTTCTCCTTGACTCCTAATACTCAAAATGCTTACTCTCTTAATACTTATCTCCTGATAACTGATTCCTTTCACCCCCCTTATCCCTGGCTTCTAGTCCCCTAATACTTATCACCTGATAATTTTTTCCTTTCTCCCCTCCCCCTTTTTCTTGACTCCTGATCCTTTATTTTTTACCTCCTCCTCTCATATACTTGTTTTAAATTTCTCTCCCTCCTCTTCCCTGGCTCCTAATCCCCTAATAATTGTTTCCTTCCTCCCCTCCTTTTACCATTCTTAGACCTTTCTCCTTGACTCCTAATACTCGAATTCTTTACTCTCTTAATACTTATCCCCTGATAACTGATTCCTTTCTCTCCCCCATATCTTTAACTCCTGATCTTATATTTCTTACCTCCTCCTCTCATATATTTGTTTTTAATTTTTCTACCTCCTCTTTCCTGGATACTAATCTCCTAATATTTTTCATTTTTCCTCTCCTTTTACTAATTTTGGACCTTTTTTCTTGACACCTAATTGTCGAATTCCTTACTCCATTCCCTTTCTATTCTCATTTTGCACTCAAAATACCTCCTCAATTTACCTTCTTATTACTCTTTCACTCCTGAACTTCTAATCCCCTATCATCTTCCTTTATTTCTCCATTTCTACTATTTTACTCCCTTCCTACTTTAGACTCACCACTAATTCCTAAATCCTTTTTCTCCTTGTACACTTTTGGATCGTCTCTTTACTTCTCATTGACTCCTAATCTTCTAATTTTTTACCCCCACACTTAATTTTATTATTTTAAACCTCCTTGACTTCTAATCCTCCAGTTTCTTGCTGTGTTCCTATCCTTTCATCATTTTAAACTCTTCCTAAATCACCCTCTCTCCTTTTTTATTCCACATTTTTTTTGCCACCTCCTCACTAATTATTGACTCCTGATCCTCTAATCTGTAGCAATTTAAAACTTTTTTTAATCATCCGTCCCTTCTCCTCTTTTCCTTGACTCCTGATCCTATATTTACCTCCTCCTCTTAAATTATTGTTTTTAATTTTTCTACCTCTTCATACCTGGCTCCTAATCCTTTTATACTTATCTCCTCATAATTATTTTCTTTCTCCCCTAATTTTACCATTTTTATACCTTTCTCCTTGACTCCTAATACTAGAATTCCTTACTCTCTTAATACTTATCCCCTGATAACTGATCTCTTTCTCTCCCCCTTATCCTTAACTCCTGATCCTATATTTCATACTTCCTCCTCTCATATACTTGTTTTTAATTTTTCTCCCTCATCTTCCCTGGCTCCTAATCCCATAATATTTTTCCTTTCTCCTCTCCTTTTACCATTTTTAGACCTTTCTTCTTGACTCCTAATACTCGAATTCCTTACTCTTACCCTCTTAATACTTATCTCCTGATAACTGATTCCTTTCTTCCCCACTTTTCCTTTACAACTGATCCTATATATTTTACCTCCTCCTCTCATAAACTAAGTGGTTTATACCTAATTAACATTCTTTTTTGTGGATCCTAATCCCCTAATAATATTGTACCTATCTCCACTCCTTTTATCATTTTTAGACTCTAAATATTCGAAGTTTTTACTCCCTCCCTTCATTTTATGATTATAATCCTCCATAAATATTATTCTAGTTCCTTGCTTTATTGTTATCCTTTCCTCATTTTAAACTCTTTATCAATTACACCCTCTCCTTTTCTACTTCTATTCTATTCCATCGCCCCTTCTCCTTGACTCCTGATTCTATATTTCTTATCTCCACCTCTCAAATTCTTGTTTTTAATTTTTAGCTCCTTATCCTTGGCTCCTAATCCTTTTATACTTATACCCTGATAATTTTTCCTTTCTTCTCTTCTTTTACCATTTTTAGATCTTTTTCCTTGACACGAATTTCTTACTCCCTTCCCTTCCTATTCTAATTTTACACTCATTTATTACCTTCTCACTACTACTTGTCTTCTAATCCCTTAATTCCTTGCTCCATTCCTATCCTTTCCTTTTTTAAAACTCCTTATCAATCAAACCGCTCCTTTCCTATTTCACACTTTTTTATCACCTCCTCATGAATTATTGACTCCTGATCCTCTAATTCGTGGGACTCCAGGGCTTTTTCAATTCTCTGTTTCTTCGCTCCTTTTCCTTAACTCCTAGTCCTATATCTCTTACTCCTCCTCTCAAATTTTTTTACCTCCTCTTTCCTGGCTACTAGTCCTCTAATACTTATCCCCTGATAATTGTTTTCTTTCTCTCCCTTTTTTCTTGACTCCTTATCCTACATTTCTTACCTTCTCATTTCATATTATTGTTCTTAATTTTTCTACCTCCTCTTCGTTGTTAATTCTTACCTTTTTAGGAGTTTTTTTCATTCCCTTTTCCTAGACTCCTAATCCTCTAATTACTTATTCTCCTCCTTTACATTTATCATTTTAAATTTTCCTAAAAAGTTATTAGTTCGTCACTCCTAATACTGTAGTCTCTTCCTGTTTTTCTACCCTTTTCTTATTAGCTTTTCTCCCTTTTTCGCCTTATTCTGTGACTCCTAATACTTTGTATAATTTTTTATCTTTTCACCTCCTAACTCTTCGTGGACTCCTAATCCCTCAATTTATCACCTCTTTTCAATTTTGCTTATCTTTAAATTTTCTAATCTTTTTTTCTCGAACTCCCTGCTCCTTGACTCCTAATCCCTTAAATTATCACCTCTTTTAAATTTTCTAATCTTCTTTTCTCTAACTCCCTACTCCTTGACTCCTAATTACAAAATACTTTACCTCCTTCCTTTCTATTATCATTTTACAATTTTTCTGTCATCTCCTGAAATATCTTTGACTCCTGATCCTTTAATCCCTAATCAATTTTTGTACGTTTTCTCATTTTAAACTTTTGGATCTGCTCCTCCTGGACTCCTGATACATAATCGTTTATTCTCTTTTCTTTCTCTTCTAACTTTCTACTCCTAATCATTCGCACTTGAAATTTTCCACTATCTTTCTTCCTTTTCATTGTCTCCTAATCCTTAATTTCCTTCCTTATAATTCTTTCTCTTTTTGGTTAGAAATTTTCTATCTATTTTCTCTTTTGATACCATCTTTTACTCCTAATCCCATAATTCCTAATCTCCTCACCTAACGTTTTTGTTAATTAAAGAAAACAAGGGCATGGAGAATAAATTTGAAGTAAAGTATTGTACTTTGGTTTCGCATTCTGACTCACCACTTTTTTTCACTTTGTGCTATTCCCACCTCCTTTCTCCTTGTTTTCTTCTTCTTTAATTCCTCCTTCGCCTCTTCCTCCTCCTCCTCTTTTCGCTGTATTTTCGTCGTCTTGGCTTTCACAATTTTCTCTCGTGTTCTTCTTCTCCTTCGTTTACTCTTTTCTCTCTTTTCTTGTGTTTCCTTCTTCTTCTCTATCGTTTACTCTTTTTTCTCTCTTTTCTTCTGTTTCCTTCTTCTCCTTCTCTATCGTTTACTCTCCTTTTCTCTTCTTTCTTTTCGTTAATTCTAACTCTTTTCTTTTTTCTCTTTTTCTTCTTCACTCTCGTTCTCTCTCACTTTTTCTTTTTTTGTCTCTTTCTCCCTTTTTCTCTCTCTTTTCTTTCCCCTTTTCCTTTTTTTCTCTCTTTTCTTTCTCTTTTTCTTCCTCACACTCTTCTTTACTGTCTTTTTCTTACTTTTCTCTTCTTATTTTATTTCTTTCTCTCTTTCTTTTTCGTTCTTCTTCTTCTTTTTCTTTTTCTTCTTTTTCTTCTTCTTTTCCCCTCGCAGTCTCTCTTGTAGGACAACGAATTATGTCAGGCACTAAAAACTAGCGTCGACACTATTCAAAATTTTTCCTCTTCATTATTATGCATAACTTTAGTTTCACACACTTTTAGAGACACAATATAAATTCTCAGCCACCGAAAAACAAACAAAAAACTATCAATCAAGTCGCGCATCGACGCCTGCCTTGACAATCACTGCCAAAATATCTGCAACAAACATTTCCTTCAGGGACGGGTACAAATTTAAAAAAAAAAATAATTTATCTCTCTCTCTGTGATTTTTTTTATTCGTAACGTTTGCAAATCCCAAAAGACGAAAAAAACAAAATAGGTCGTTAAAGTATTTTTAAACATTTGTTTCTTTAATTCCTCAACTGATTTCATAAATAAATAAATAAAAAAACGAATTCCAATATAAATTATTCGATAAATAATTAATGTTGTTAATACTAATGATTATAACAAACTAATAATAATAGTAATAATAATAATAATAATAATAATAATAATAATAATAATAATAATAATAATAATAATAATAATAATAATAATAATAATAATAATAATAATAATAATAATAAAATGACAACAAAATTATATAAATAATTAATTTTCATTAAATTAATTAAAAAACTAATGAAAAAATAATAATATTAGCAAGAATAATAAAGAAGAAAATTATCATTCGATGGTAAGACACATGTGCTAATTACAACGAGAAAAAGAAACGAAGACAAATGGTAATTGACGTGACTCGAATAAGAAAACGGTAACTGACAGATGATTGATGATGAACCATCATATCGATGTGTTTTCAATTGCGTAGAAACAATTGTAAACAATCATCGAATTCAGTTCATGTTTTTATTTTTATTAATTAATTTTGTTTCACTAAATTACCAACTTGAAAAATTAAAATTTACAGGAAGAAAAAATTAATAACAATTAACAAAAAAAAAAAGAACAGAATTTACTTAATGACAAATACTAAGTTGGTGAAAATAAATAATCACTATGATCAGAATCATTAGCTTTATTGCTATAGTATCATCATCAAAGATGAAAATAGTAAGAAATGAAAATAAGAAAATTTATATTCATTGATTTTTTTCCTCTAAACGAAACGAATCAAAATTACTATTCGTAACAAAAATCATCAAACGACATTGAATTGGATTCAATTGGTCATAAAAATTAAAAAATGAATTGGATCAAATTGATACAAAAAATTAATAGTAAAATTTGATCAAAATTGGTATATTAGTACCTATTTTGTATTTTTTAATGTCATTTTTTTCAATTATGAATTTGATTCAATTTTAGTATAAAATTTAAAAAATAATTGAATTCAATTTCCCACCAATGTTTGGTACCAATTTAATCAAATTTAATATTAATTTTTTAGTGTCAATTTTCCACCAATTTTTGATAACAATTTAATTGCATTTGCTATCAATTTTTTAAATCTATTTGATCCAATTTTGTATCAATTTTTAATACCAATTGGATTCAATTTTCAACCAATTTTTTAAACAAATTTTTTTTTTTTTTTTGCTTAAACTGGTTTCCAAAGTTGGTACAAAATTGGATAAAAATTAATATAAAACATTGATATAAAATCGGTTCAAATTGTTATAAAAGATTAAAACCAAAATGGATCCAAATGGTATCAAAATTTAAAACCAAATTGGATCAATTGGATTAAATTTATATGAAGAATTAATATCAAATTAGTTAAAATTGCTGTAAAAAATTAAATCCAAAATGGATTCAAATGGTATCAAAATTTAAAACCAAATTGGATCCAATTTAGTACCAAAGATTGACAACAAATTTGATTAAATTGTTATCAAATTGAATCAAATTAATATAAAAAAATTGATGCCAAATTGGATTAAATTGGTTTTTAAAAGTTGGTACCAAATTGGATTAAATTTATATGAAGAATTAATATCAAATTAGTTAAAATTGCTGTAAAAAATTAAAACCAAAATGGATTCAAATGGTATAAAAAATTAAAACCAAATTGGATCCAATTTGGCAACAAAAATTGACAACAAATTTGATAAAAATGTTATTAAACTGAATCAAATCAATATAAAAAAATTGATGCCAAATTGGATTAAATTGGTTTTTAAAAGTTGGTACCAAATTGGATTGAATTTATATAAAACATTGATATCAAATTGGTTCAAATTGTTATAAAAAATTAAAACCAAAATGGATCCAAATGGTATCAAAAATTAAAACCAAATTGGATCCAATAATTTGGTAACAAAAATTGTCAACAAATTGGGTTAAATTTTTATTAAATTGAATCAAATTAATATCAAAAATTGGTGCCAAATTGAATTAAATTTGTTTTAAAAGTTGGTACCAAATTGGATTAAATTTTTATAAAATATTGATACCAAATGGAATTAAATTGGATCCAAAATTAATACAAAAATAAAGTCAAAAAGCGATACCAAATTGAATTATATTGGATTATAAATTGATACCAAATTGAATCAAATTGATACAAATAGGTACCGAAAATTAACAGCTAATTAAATAAAATTTTTATAAAATATTTACAGCAAATTGGATAAAATTAAAATAAAAATTGATTCCAAATAGTATCAACTCAATGCCAAATTAGATCCCCAATTATTATTTTGTCTTGCAATAATTCATTATAATTCCACATATACTTTCAAAAATCTTACAAATTCGACTTTAATCCAAAAAAAGAAAATTGAAAGAATATCGAAAAAAATAAATTACCCTTTTCTCTCTTTTGGATGTCGAATACAGAATCGAATTAACAGACAAGCAACTAAGCAAGAAAAAAGATTTGAAAAGGAAGAAATGAAAAATTCGACCTTGTTAAAAATGCGCAGCAGCTCTTCCTCTTAATAATATGAGCAGAAATCGTTTCCTTGTCCTGATTATCATACGCCTCTGATTATAATAAAGTTTATAGCTTATTTTGAAAATATATAGATATACACGAAGCGTATAGACTTATTCTCTTGTTCCCCGACGACCAATTACTAAAGACTTACTGCATCAGCAATATGCAAGTGGAGATGCAATTTGAATCCATACATTCAACAATGTACTTAATGCGACCTAATTTGTGCCCATTGTTCCATGTTTCTGTCCATTGCCGATTCAGTTCTCTCTATTCTCCGTAATGTATATGTCTGCTACGTTTGTGTATTTATATGTATTTATAGTCGTAAATGTACTTTAGTATTTTGTAGGTGTACATCAAAATACTATTACTATACAATGTGTACTATAAAGAGTACTATATATTTACTATATAGTATTTAGTAGTAATTTAATGTGCTATACACTATATAGTATTTAGAAGTAAATTATTGTACTATACGCTATATAGTACTTGGTAGTAATTTATTGTACTATATTTGAAATTTGGTACTACTATATTATAGTTCTACATACAATATGGTATTTAAAAATGCTATATGGTACTATACAGTAACATGGTAAATAGTAAATTATAGCATTGTGAAGTACAGATGGTACTACATACTATAGTATAGTACAGTACAGTATATTACAGGCTAATATAGGTACTACAGAGTACTATATAGTATATAATATAATAAAGTATAGTATAGTTTACTACAATATAGTACTATTCAGTAAAGTATACTACAGTATAGTACAGTATAGCGTGAAGTATATTATGGTGTAATACATTATAGTAAAGTAAATATAATATAGTATAATATAGTACTATTTAGCATAGTATAGTACAGTATAGTACAATATAGTACTATTCAGTATAGTATAGCATAAAACAGTATAGTACAATATAGTACTATTCAGTATATGATATAGTATGGAACTGTATAGTAAAGTATAGTACAATAAAGTACTATTCAGTATAGTATATAGTGTAAAATATATTACGGTATAGTACGTTATAGTAAAGTATAAAATAGAAATATAATATAGTATAGTATGGTACTGTATAGTATAGTAAAGTATAGTTTAGTACAATATAGTAATATTCAGTATAGTATAGTAAAATATAGTACTATTCAGTATAGTATAGTATGATACTGTATAGTATAGTAGAGTATAGTACAATATTGTACTTTTCAGTATTGTATAGTAAAATATAGTAATATTTAGTATAGTGTAAAGCATATTATAGTATAGTACGTTATAGTATGGTACTGTATAGTATAGTAAACTTTTGTAAAAACTTTTGTTTTTGATTTTTTTTTTGCTTTCATTTTTGATTTTTTTTGTTTTTAACCGAAAAAACCGAAATAACCCAAGAAAAAGAAAAAAAAGGTGACAAAAATACAAAAAGAATAAAAAAAACGAAGTTAAAACAAGAAGAACCAAAAATGGAGGCAAAAATGAACGAAAAAAAAAGAAAAGAATCTCTCGAAAAAAAATAATTGTGAGGGTAAGTTAACAATAAGAATAAGATTCGAATTATATATATGTATATATATGTGATAATAAAAGGAAAGGGATGAAAATAACAAATGATGAGTGGAATGTATAACACGAAAAAGAAGGAATTATGATAAATGATCAGAGAAATATTTTCTAAATAACAAATGATGATGAATTCAAAAAAAAAATAAATAATAATAGTGGAGTTTCTTAAGAATTCAATATTTTTCCTCTATATTTCGCTTTTCGTATTGAATCGACGTTTTTGGAAGAAGAAAAATAAGAAAAAAAATTGAAAGAAGAAAGAGGAAGAAAATAAGAAAAAGGATTAAAAGGAGAGAAAAAAGAAGAAAAAATATATAAGAGAGAAAAAGAAAAAATAGAAGAAGGAAAAGAGAAGTGATGAGAATAAGAAAAAAAGGAAAAATAAGTATAGAAAAAAGAAAAGAAATGGAGCAGAAAAAGAAAAGGGAGAAAAATAAGTAAAGAGGAAAGGAAAAAGAAAAAGAAGGAGAAGTAGAACAGAGAGAACAAGAAGAAGAAGAAAAAAGAAAAGAAAAAGAACAGAGAGAAAAATGAGAAAAAAGAAAGGAAAAAAAGAAGAAAAGGAAGAAGAAAAAAGGAAGAGGAAAAAGGAAAAAAGAGAGAAAAAGAAGAAGGAAGAAAAACAAACGGAAAAAGGGAAAATAAAAGAGAGAAAGAGAAAAAAGAAGAAAAAAGGGAAAAATGAATAAAAAAAAGAAAAAAAGAAAACGAAGAAGAAGGAAAAAAAAGAAAAG